AGTATCTCAGTTTTTGCAGGATTCACTTTTAGTCTGCTCGCTCGCAGCCAACTCATCACTGCTTCCAAACACAGCTTAAAGTTCTCAGGAATCGCGGTTGTCCCAGGTTCGAGACGCAAGAGTAGCTGGGTATCACTGCATACTGGTAGCACTCTATGCCAAAGCTCCGCACCAGTCCAGCAAGTGGCTGGACGTAGATGTTAAATAACCGGGCGAGAGGATAGCACCCTGGGGAACTCCACAGCAAAGGCAGGAGCTCTCAGAGCTTTGGCCTGTCCACTCCACCCTCTGTCTTCCGGTCCCGGAGGAATGAATTGAACCATTTCAGGGCTAAACCTCGTACACCAGACATAGCCAATCGATGAATCAGCAAGTCATGGTCCACGGTGTCGAATGCAGCTGTGAGGTCCAAGAGTACCAATAGCGCTGATCCGCCTCGGTCTAACTGATGACGAATTTCATCAGTAATAGCTACCAAGACAGTTTCTGTCCCATGACCTGAGCGAAAGCCTGATTGAAAGCCCGCAGTCTCATCTAAGAATTGCTGTAGCTGCCCCGCTACTGTCTGTTCAATCACCTTGCCCAAAAATGGAAGGTTTGAAACTGGGCGATAGTTACTAGGTATGGCGGCGTCTAGGCTTGGTTTTTTCAAGAGAGGGTGGACCACTGCTTCTTTAAGGCAATCTGGAAAAATTCCTTGCTCCAAGGAGCTGTTGATGATGCTCCTTAAGGGATCTCGTAGTCCCTCCCAGCACTCCGTTAACCAACCGGGAGGGGCAAGGATCAAGGGAGCAGGTAGTTGGTCTTGCTGCAGCTAGAGTCTTTTTCCAGGTCTTCCATTTCTAATGGCACAAAATGTTCTAGAAGTTGACCACTAGATGGCCAGAAGGCCTCTAGTTCCGTAGATGTGTCTTCTGTGGGAGGTAGCCCTTGGCGGAGCAGATTGATCTTATTTATGAAGTTGCTCTGGAAGGTCTCTGCTGTAATATCTTGACTAGCCATATCTTTGGCCGGATGGGTTGGATTTGTGATGTTACAAACAATTTTAAATATTTGAGCAGGTCGAGATCTGGCGGAAGCTATCAATGAGGAATTATATTCTTTTTTGGCCTCTCTGGTGGCTGCTTCGTAGATTTTTCGATGTATTTTGAAAGCCGACTGATGTTTCATCAGTTTTTTTGCACCATTTTCTTGCTCTCCTCCCAAGAAGTAAGCGTCTCCTGATTTCCTGGCTGCAGTCTGCATCTGCAGTAATCTTTGCACCTAGAAATACAAAGTCTGTCACTGCCTCCATGTTTTCTCCCTCTATTTCCCAGTTGTCAGTCATTCTTGTTGCCATAATCTTGGTTTTTTTTTATGTTTAGCTGCAACCCAGCTATTGCGCTTTTTCTTTCACTTTGATTAGAAGGCTCCTCAGCTCTTCCTCACTTTTGGCCATCAAAGTGGTGTCATCTGCATATCTAAGGTTGTTAATGTTTCTTCCAGCATTTTTCACCCCAGCCTTGCATTGCTCAAGCCCCGCACATCGCATGATGTGTTCTGCATACAAGTTGAATAGGTTGGGTGAGAGTATACAACCCTGCCGTACGCCTTTCCCAATCTTGAACCACTCTGTTGTTCCGTGGCCTGTTCTTACTGTTGCTACTTGGTCTTGTACAGATTCCTCAGGAGAGAGACAGGGTGGCTTGGGATGCCCATCCCACCAAGAACTTGCCACAATTTATTATGATCCACACAGTCAAAGGCTTTAGAATAGTCAATGAAGGAGAAGTAGATGTTTTTCTGAAACTCCCTGCCTTTCTCCATTATCCAGCGGATATTGGCAATTTGGTCTCTCGTTCCTCTGCCTTTTCTAAACCCAGCTTGTACATCTGGCAACTCTCTCCGTGTATTGCTGGAGTTATTCTTGCAGGATCTTGAGCATTACCTTACTGGCATGAGAAATAAGGGCCACTGTACGGAAGTTGGAGCAGTCTTTAGCATTGTATTGTCGAAGGCTTTCATGGCCGGAATCACTGGGTTGTTATAGGTTTTTTCAGGCTATATGGCCATGTTCTAGAGGCATTCTCTCCTGACGTTTCGCCTGCATCTATGGCAAGCATCCTCAGAGGTAGTGAGATCTGTTGGAACTAGGAAAGTGGGTTTATATATCTGTGGAATGACCAGGGTGGGACAAAGGACTCTTGTCTGCTGGAGCTAGGTGTGAATGTTTCAACTGACCACCTTGATTAGCATTTGATGGCCTGGCAGTGCCTGGCGCAATCTTTTGTTGAGAGGTGATTAGTCTTTGGCATTTCCCTTTTTTGGTATGGGGATATAAGTGGATTTTTTCCAGTCTGATGGCCATTATTGTGTTTTCCATAATATCTATATGTTCCGTCTCCCAGGAGCCTGATTTGTCTTACTTTATAGTTGCTTGAGATTGCTTCCTCTTGCATTTTCTCCCAGATTTGCAAGAGTCCTAAAGGTTAATAGTAGCAGAGTCTGCAGGCCTCTTTGCAACTATTGGCTTAACTCTTTGAGTTTAGGGACCGGCTTTCCTCCCAGGGAAAGATCTCAATTTTAGATTCTCCCCTGCCTTTTCAGTTTGAGGAAAGACTTCAGACGTGCTGATGGCTAGGCAGTTAGCTCTGGGGAAACCATTGCAAAAACTATACATTATAGATAAGTATTAAGCTATATTGAGTTAATATAGATAGTATATTGTGTATTGAGCTGTATTGAGATATTATAGACAGATAAGCTTAATTGAGAAGATTGATACTACACTTGATCTTAGCCAAAAGGCCGAAAAGCGAGTTATATAGTTATAGAGAGAGAATCTTCACTACTTTGTCTCCAGAACTAACCTTAAGTTACAGATAGGGAAAAACCTGCTTTTTTCTAAACCACAACAGCTTAAGGTTAGGGTGTAAAGATTCCAGGATCTTATCTGCCATCTGGAGAAAAGGGTTACCTCTGTAACTAAAGAAAAGAAAGAATATTTTTGTAATTTCATCTATTGACTGTTTGTTTGCAACTTTGATGAACTGTGCCAAGTCTTCAAGGACTTTGAATAAATAAATATCCTTTTTTGATGTTTAAAACCAGTAATAGTCTCAGTTGCTGAGTATCTCAAGCTTCTCAAGATAGACACCTGCAGTTCGCTCAGGCATAGAGAGAAGCACGTCGCAGTTTTATTTTTTACTAGCTGTCCCCTGCCACGCGTTGCTGTGGCCCAGTCTGGTGATCTGGAAAATAAATAATGAGAAAGTGTTGGTTTCTAATATATGTAATTCCTTTATGCTTGTGAGCAAACAGTATTTCTTGTTGTTTCTTTGTCAGTGTTGATGTGGAGAGTGTCTGGTTTGCCTACTCTGGAATATGCAACATATCATAGTCCTTCTTTAAGGGTCTCTTTCAAATCTATGATACTATATCTGTGTGTGTGTGTGAGAGAATCATATCTACCTATATTTATGACTGGATGGCTCTTTGTCAGGAGGGCTCTGATTACATTTTCTTGCCCTGGTGAAGAGAGTTGGACTGGATGGCCTTAAGTATTTTCTGTTGGTCATGGGGGTTCTGTGTGGGAAGTTTGCCCCATTTCTGTCGTTTGTGGGTTTCAGAATGCTCTTTAATTGTAGTGAACTATAAATCCCAGTAACTACAAATCCCAAATGTCAAGGTCTATTTCCTCCAAACTCCATCTGTGTTCATATTTAGGCATATGGAATTTTTGTGTCAAGTTTGGTCCAGATCCATCATTGTTTGAGTCCACAGTGCTCTCTGGATGTAGGTGAACTACAACTCCCAAACTCAAGGTCAATGCCCACCAAACCCTTCCAGTGTGTTCTGTTGGTCATGGAAGTCCTGTATGCCATGTTTGGTTCAATTCCATCATTGGTGGAGTTCAGAATGCTCTTTGATTGTAGGTGAACTATAAATCCCAGTAACTACAAATCCCAAATGTCAAGGTCTATTTCCTCCAAACTCCATCTGTGTTCATATTTGGGCATATGGAATATTTGTGTCAAGTTTGGTCCAGATCCATCATTGTTTGAGTCCACAGTGCTCTCTGGATGTGGGTGAATTACAACTCTCAAACTCAAGGTCAATGCCCACCAAACCCTTCCAGTGTGTTCTGTTGGTCATGGAAGTCCTGCATGCCATGTTTGGTTGAATTCTATCATTGGTGGAGTTCAGAATGCTCTTTGATTGTAGGTGAACTATAAATCCCAGCAGCTACAACTCCCAAATGTCAAGGTCTATTTCCCTTAAACTCCATCTGTGTTCATATTTGGGCATATGGAATATTCATGCCAAGTTTGGTCCAGATCCATCATTGTTTGAGTCCACAGTGCTCTCTGGATGTGGGTGAACTATAATTCCCAAACTCAAGGTCAATGTCCAGTTTTTTCTGTTGGTCATGGGAGCCCTGTGTGCTAAGTTTGGCCCAATTCCATCATTGGTGGAGTTCAGAATGCTCTTTGATTGTAGGTAAACTATAAATCCCAGCAACGACAATTCCCAAATGACAAAATCAATTTTTTTGAGTGGAGGACAAAAATTGGACTGTTAGGTGTCTTGTGTCCAAATTTGGTGTCAATTCCCCCAGTGGTTTTTGAGTTCTGATGGTAGCACGAACTAACATTAACATTTATATAGATTTTATTATGATAATATATTATTATTAATAACAATATGAAGAGGGAAAAGGTGGAGAATCATTCAAGGAAGGCTCTATCCCTGACTGAGGAGCGATGGGCCTCGCTGAGGGGCACCCCTGCTAGGAATATTTCGCGGACTACATTTCCCAGAATGCCTTCCCCTTGAAACAACCGGCGAGGGCTTCTGGGAGTCAGAGGCTCAGGTCTGTGTTGTTTGGGACTCAATTTCCCAGAGTTCCTTCCTCTTGGTGCAGGCGGGGAGGCCTTCTGGGAATTGTAGGCCCCGAGGCTGTGAGGCGGCAAAGGAACCCCGTCCGAGCTCCGGGCGCCATTTTTCCCCTGCCCTCCACTGGAAGAGGGGGCGTGGAGCGCGGAGGGAGGGAAGGCCTGGCTTTCCCCGCCCAGGACGGAGGAGGCGGTGCCGCTTGTTTATCGAGAGAGACCCCGAAGGAGGGAGAAGGGCGACGGCGGAGGAGGCATGGCGGGTCGCCTGGGTCTAGGCCTTGGGCTCGGACTAGGCCTCCTCCTGGGAGTGCTTCTAGCGACCTGCATGCCCGAGGCGCGAGCCCAGAACCCCGACCAGAGTGAGTCCCAACGAAGGCATGGGGGAGAGGGTTAGGGCTAGGGTTGGATCTGGAATGACTGGGAAGGAAGAGGGAATCCATCGCTCATAGTAGTACTCACAGTAGATCTGAAATGCCTATTGAGAAGAGGAGAATACACTGCTATTATTATGCTTACTATTATTAGATCTGTAATTCCTATTGAGAAGAGGAGGAGAGGGACTCCATTGCTATTAGTATTCGTATTATTATGCTTACTATTGGGTCTGTAAGAGAAGGAGAGGGAATGCATTGCTATTATGATTATGTTGATTATGCTTACTATTGGGTCTGTAGGAGAAGGAGAGGGAATGCATTGCTATTATGATTATGTTTATTATTATTAGTAGCAGATCTGTAATGCTCATTGAGAAGAGGAGGAGAGGGACTACATTGCTATTAGTATTCGTATTATTATGCTTACTATTGGGTCTGTACGAGAAGGAGAGGGAATGCATTGCTATTATGATTATGTTTATTAGTAGTAGCAGATCTGTAATGCCCATTGAGAAGAGGAGAGCCAGATTGCTATTAGTATTAATATTATGATGCTTACTATTGAGTCTGTAAGAGAAGGAGAGGGAATGCATTGCTATTGTGATTATGTTTATTATTATTAGTAGCAGATCTGTAATGCCTATTGAGAAAATGAGGAGAGGGACTACGTTGCTATTAGTATTAATATTATTATGGTTCCTATCGGGTCTGTAAGAGAAGGAGAGGGAATGCATTGCTATTATGATTATGTTTATTATTAGTAGTAGCAGATCTGTAATTCCCATTGAGAAAATGAGGAGAGGAACTTCGTTGCTATTAGTATTAATATTATGAGGCTTACTATTGAGTCTGTAAGAGAAGGAGAGGGAATGCATTGCTATTACGATTATGTTTATTATTATTAGTAGATCTGTAATGCCCATTGAGAAGAGGAGGAGAGGGACTACATTGCTATTAGTATTAATATTATGCTTCCTATTGGGTCTGTAAGAGAAGGAGAGGGAATGCATTGCTATTATGGTTATGTTTATTATTATTAGTAGCAGATCTGTAATGCCCATTGAGAAGAGGAGGAGAGGAACTACGTTGCTATTAGTATTAATATTATTATGCTTCCTATCGGGTCTGTAAGAGAAGGAGAGGGAATGCATTGCTGTTATGATTATGTTTATTAGTAGTAGTAGCAGATCTGTAATGCCCATTGAGAAGAGGAGGAGAGGAACTACGTTGCTATTAGTATTAATATTATTATGCTTCCTATCGGGTCTGTAAGAGAAGGAGCATTGCTATTATGATTATGTTTATTATTATTAGTAGCAGATCTGTAATGCCCATTGAGAAGAGGAGGAGAGGAACTACGTTGCTATTAGTATTAATATTATTATGCTTCCTATCGGGTCTGTAAGAGAAGGAGCATTGCTATTATGATTATGTTTATTATTATTAGTAGCAGATCTGTAATGCCCATTGAGAAGAGGAGGAGAGGAACTACGTTGCTATTAGTATTCGTATTATTATGCATACTATTGGGTCTGTAAGAGAAGGAGAGGGAATGCATTGCTATTATGATTATGCTTATTATTAGTGGCAGATCTGTAATGCCCATTGAGAAGAGGAGAGCTACATTGCTATTAGTATTAATATTATTATGCTTCCTATTGGGTCTGTAAGAGAAGGAGAGGGAATGCATTGCTATTATGAATATGTTTATTATTAGTAGTAGCAGATCTGTAATGCCCATTGAGAAGATGAGGAGAGGGACTATGTTGTTATTAGTATTAATATTATTATGCTTCCTATTGGGTCTGTAAGAGAAGGAGAGGGAATGCATTGCTATTATGGTTGTGTTTATTATTAGTAGTAGCAGATCTGTAATGCCCATTGAGAAGAGGAGGAGCGGGACTACATTGCTATTAGTATTCATATTTTTATGCTTCCTATTGGGTCTGTAAGAGAAGGAGAGGGAATGCATTGCTATTATGGTTATGTTTATTATTATTATTATTATTATTATTATTATTATTATTATTAGATCTGTAATGCCTATTGAGAAGAGGAGAGGGACTACATTGCTATTATTATTATTATTATTATTATTATTATTGGTTCTGTAATGCCTGTTGAGAAGACGAGGAATACATTGCTGCTGCTATTATTGTTATTATTAGATCTGTAATGCCTTTTGAGAAGACGAGGAGAGGGAATACATTGCTATTATTATGCTTATTGTTGTTATTATTGGATCTGTAATGACTTAGGGAGAGGGAAGGAAATGCACATTATTATTATTATTATTATTATTATTATTAAGATTAATCCAATGGCAGGACAGGAGGGAGAGGGAATACATCACTATTAGTAGTAGTAGAAATAATATATCTGTTCTGCCAGTTAAGAAGAAGAGGAGAGGAAATACATTGTTGTTATTATGATTATTATGATTAGATCTATCATGCCTGCTAAGAAGATGAGAGGAGGGAATACACTGCTAATATTATTATTATTATGCTTATTATTATTATGCTTATTATTAGATCTGTAATGCCTATTATGGGGAAGGGGAGGAGGGATATGAGAGGAAATACATCACTATTATTGTTATTATTATTAGATCTGTAATGCCTATTAAGAATAGGAGGGAGAGCAGAGGGAATATTATTGTTATTATTGATAAGAAGTTTGAGCCCCCGGTGGCGACCCCTGTGCCGGCAGGACTGAAGACCGACAGGTCGCAGGTTTGAATCTGGGGAGAGGCGGTTGAGCTCCCTCTATCAGCTCCAGCTCCTCATACGGGGACATGAGAGAAGCCTCCCACAAGGATGATAAAAACATCAAATCATCTGGGCGTCCCCTGGGCAACGTCCTTGCAGACGGCCAATTCTCACACCAGAAGCGACTTGCAGTTTCTCAAGTCGCTCCTGACACGACAAAAAAAGAAGAAGTTTAATCCAAAGGAAGGGAAGGAGGGAATGAAGAAATACATTATTATTATTATTTATTATACTTGGTAATGCCTTGTGGTTGGCAGTAGCACAATAGTGTAATATATATAATATATCTGATATTATAATGCTATAAAGCATATAAGAATAGGTGAATAGAAGAGTGAATTATTATTATTTTTTAATTTTTATTAAGTATATTTTAATAGATACAAAATGTAGGGGAAGAAAAGTTATTAATATTATTATTAATATTATCATCATCATCTCTAGATATGCCAGTGCCGATTTCCTGTCATTTTGTTGTCGTCGATAGTAATACAAATATAAATAGTATAAGAATAGGAGTGCAAGGGAGTATCTATTTCTTAGGAGGAATAGAAGAGAGAACTATAATAATAATAATAATAATAATAATTATTATTATTATTAGATATGCCAGTGCAGCTTTCCAGTGGTCTTGTGGTTGGCAGTAGTACTATAATATGTAATCTAATATACATTACGTAAGTGCAAGGAGAGGAATGCAAGGGGGAGCCTATTTCTTAAGGATGAGGTAGAGAAGACAGGATAGCAGTAATACTGACAAGAATGACGATAATAGTAAAATGACAACAACTTGTAATGCTATACTTGCTTTCCTGTGGTTGCTGTTTGCGCCTGTACTGTAACATAATATATGGCATAGTGTGATATATGCGATACCAAGATATCATAATAGGAGAAGCAAGGGGACGCCAATTTCTTAGGAGGAAGGGAAGCAAAAATAATAACAACAGTAATAACAACACATACATGTAATAATAGCCAACAAAGAGCAAAGCTAGGCCTCTCTCTTCTGTGGTCTTGAAGTAGAGAGTAGGAGTAATATAAGGGATCTTACATGGTTTGACAGCTGGAATATTAATGATAATAGAGTCTCTCTTCTCTGAAGTGCTGGGGATCAGAAGTGCTTAGGAATATTTCAGAATATTTATCTCTGTTTGCAATTGTGTACAAACAGAGGCATATTGGAAATGGGACAGTGATGGTGGGTATCACTAGACAATCACCTCCATTATCAGTAGTTCAGTTGGTAAACGAACCTTATTATTATTATTATTATTATTATTAATAATAATAATAATAATAAGGTTCGTTTACCAACTGAACTACTGATAATGGAGGTGATTGTCTAGTGATACCCACCATCACTGTCCCATTTCCAATATGCCTCTGTTTGTACACAACAATCACCTCCATTATCAGTAGTTCAGTTGGTAAACGAACCTTATTATTATTATTAATAATAATAATAATAATAATAATATATCACTTGGGGTAGAGAATCTCCTCCTTCAGCATCAGTAGTTCAGGTAGTAAATGAACAATATTAATATACTAATTATTTTTATTACTATCATTTGGGCTAGAGAATCACTTCTTTCAGCATCAGTAGTTCAGTTAGTAAAGTATATCACTTGGGGTAGAGAATCTCCTCCTTCAGCATCAGTAGTTCAGGTAGTAAATGAACAATATTAATATACTAATTATTTTTATTACTATCATTTGGGCTAGAGAATCACTTCTTTCAGCATCGGTAGTTCAGTTAGTAAAGTAACCATATTCACACACTACTACTACTAATAATAATAATCATCACTTGGGCTAGAGCAGTGCTTCTCAACCTTCCAAAATGCTGTGACACCTAAATCCAGTTCCTCATGGTGTGGTGACCCCCAACCATTATTTTTGTTGCTACTTCATAACTGTAATTTTGCTACTGTTATGAATCGTAAAGTAAATATCTGATATGCAGGATGTATTTTCATTCACTGGTCCAAATTTGGCACAAATACCCGATATACCCACATTTGAATTCTGGTGGGGTTTGGGGGGATTGATTTTGTCATTTGGGAGTTGTAGTTGCTGGGATTTATAGTTCACCTACAATCAAAGAGCATTCTGAACTCCACCAAAGATGGAATTGAACCAATCTTGGCACACAGAACTCCCATGTCCAAGAGAAAACACTGGAAGGGTTTGGTGGGCATTGACCTTGAG